GGCCACTGCACTCCAGTCTGGGTGAGAGTGAGACTCCAACTCAAAAAAAAAAAAAAACTTTCCATTATTAGCAGCCAGACTGAAGGAATGCAACAGAAAAGAGAGGGGTGTGTCCCCCCTTGGGCCAGAGTTTGAAAAATACAACAGCCTGCCCTTAAGAGCTAGGTTTGATGGCTATAGCAGGAACCAAATTGAGAGAACTCCAAAGTTATAAGAAATAAGGTCGGGCATGGTGGCTCAGCCTGTAATCCTGGCACTTTGGGAGGCCAAGGTGAGAGGATTGCCTGAGCCCGGCGGTTGGAGACCAGCCTGGGCAAGTTGGTGAGACTTTGTCTCTACAATAAATCACAAAAACTAGCTGGGCGTGGTGGCGTGCATCTGTATTCCAGCTACTTGGAAGGCTGAGACGGAAGGATCACCGGAGCCCAGCAGGTCGAGGCTGCAGTGGCCAGGAGTGGCCACTACACTCCAGTCTGGGTGACAGAGTGAGACTCCAACTCAAAAAATAAATAAATAAAAAATAAAAATAAAAACAAAATTAAGACAAACCCAAGGGAGAAAAGTTGGAGTCATTTATGTAATTAAACTTTACTTCATTTATATAAAAAAAAGAAACTTTACTTTTTTGGAGACCCTCTTTTCAGAAAGCTTTTTAAAGCAACTCAAACCTAGAGGGCTGCTTTATTAAGAGAAGCTGTGTTCATGTCTCATCACACAGCGAGTCCCACCATTGATGTCCACTTGGGGTGATGAGGCTCCTCCCCCTAAGCCAGGAAGGTCTTCTGGGACGCTTTCCCGACCCCAACCCAGGAGGCTCACAAGCACCGTCTGCCTCTGTCTCTACAGCATGACTTTTATCTCTGAGAGCAGAAGCATCTCCTCCATTCCAAGAGATCTGGGGCCCTGGAGCATGGAATATGGACCCCGCCCGTGAGGCTGACGGGCCTCTCACCTCCTTGGGAAAGGCTTCGGCTTCTGGAGAGCTGAGCTCCAGAGGAGACTCCTGTGCAGCCCTAATGCTGTCTGTTCAGAAACAGATCAACTAAGTTGCCTGAACCAGGGAGCCGGTTCCCAGATGGGGCAGTTCTGAATCTGGCATGAATTCAACTCATGACCCCAAAGTGAAGACTTCCCTCTGTGGGAACCTGTGTGTGTGCTGGGCAAGGTGAGGGGATCAAGGAAGGACCCTTGTTCATATGCTCAGCCAGAGGCACCTGCTGCAAAGGAAAAGGTGGTAAGCACATCCCAATGAGGCTTCTCGGGGAATGCCATGGCCCCTCAGGCCAACATGAAAAGTATGTCATATAAGGTCACACTTTTGTGGGAAAAGGGGCTTTGGGACTCCTGGGATCCAGGCAAGATGGCAGCAGCAGGCATTCAAGTGAGAGACCCTCTGGCATGAGAGACACCCGTCACCATTCCCCACCCCCTGCCCAAGAGAGGTTTTCCAGGAAGACAGAAGATAATTTTATTGCACCCCTACCAAACTACAGACACAAATCCTTGAACGGTAGTAGCATTTTATTTAGTGTTGTAGGAAATTTTAGGTTACTTCTTAAAAACAAAACCAAAGAAATTCAAAATTCCCAAAGTAACAAAGCAGAAAATAACAATTCCATAATCCCAAAATGCTGGGCGATCCTTCAAGTGGAGGGAGGGGGAGTCAGTTTAGTGGCTCACATAGGCTCTCCGGAGAAACCAGAGTTGAGGCTGGTGTGGACTCTAGGAGTTAAGTTCTCTACCTAAGGCAGTTATGTTTTCAGCCTTAAGGAATCATTCATTAGTAGTTCTAAAAAAAAGAAAAAAAGGTTGACTGGGAAAAGGCACCCAGGGAGGGAGGACCAGTACATCATTTAACCTGTGACCGAGTATCGTGGAAAGTCCTCACTCTGCCCCTCTGAGCTCCCCGGTTAGCAAAGCTAGAAAGCACATGCCTGTGTCTCATTCATACAGGCCTGGGTACACACCCCTGGCACTCAGGGCCCAAAGCTGCTCAGTACAGCAAAAGGCAGGCTTGCTTTCTCCTCTTCCTCCTGCCTTGATGGGGTTAACAGGCTGGTATAAAAGGGGAAGGCAGGACATCTGCCAAAGTCCAGGACATGAGATGATATGAGAAAATTGTGCAAGGGACTGATGCCTTCTCAGCAGCTGACCTCCAGCTGCTATTCACCGGTATTTAACCTGCTGCTGCCCTCAAGCACTGACTGCTCTTTTTGGAGGCACCAGGCAAGGCCCAGAAGGGAGCTGCTCTGGCTTCCCCAGAGCACAGTCCACTCCTAGGGCCACCAGGCAGGTAGCATCAGCACAGCAGGAGGCCAGTCCTAGCTCTCCTCATACAGCTGCTGCAGCCCGGGACTTCCTCCATTTGATCTCCGGTGCTCAACTGGCCAACCTCTGCTATGGCTCAAAGCAAGTTAAAGCTTCTCCTGGTTAACACCCCACCCTCAAAGCTGAGTCCTCCAGGAGAGTTATTAACTGAACGACCTCCAGGTTATCTACTTTGTAAGGTGCGGGAATGCTATAAACACCATTTTTACCCAGCAGTGGCAGAAGCCAGACACCCTTGAAGTCAATAGTTCTTCATTCTCTAGCCTTCCCAAGTGGCATTTCAGAGCACAGGAATTCACTCCTCCTCCCAGACATCCCTCTCACACTGACTGAGTTACAAACCCCAGGTCCTAGCAGCAGATAGCTCCAAAACCACCACCCCAACCGGTCTCCAGACCTGCTCTCCAAAGGAAGAGAAGCCAGAGCACACCTGCCCCCAGCACACTCGGGTTATCACAGTAAAAATACATTTATGTCAAGTAAAAAACATACTGCAGAACAAATATATACATGTACATTTTCAGAGTTCAAGTGAATATACATTTTTCTTTATAAGTAAATAATTTTCATAGCACTACAAAAATACAAGTCATTTGAAAAGTTTACAGTGGTCCCAGTACTGTAGGAGAGAATTAAGTAAAATAGTTGTAAATAATTAAAAGCTAATTTGATAAATCAAGTTACAGTATCATCCTTCAGATTAAAGTGCTCGAATGTAACCAATGCTGCAGCAGATTCCTGAAAAGGGATTTCGCTGCCAATAATCTTACCTCTTAACCCCAATATAATAACACACATAGATGAGATTTTCCATTTAATAACTGCTACCATGTCAATATCATGTGATATTCTTCCCCCAGGAGAGATGTCAGATCTGATGAGGTTCTATCACAACCAGGAAAAAAAATAAGCAACACGGAAACATTCTACCTACAGTATTAGGTAAGTAGCAATAAAATTACCCAAAGCATACGAACTGGTACTTTTAGTTAAGAAGGGGGCAAGTGCCCTAGGTTTTTCTTTAAAAAGTCTATTAATCTAGTTTTTAAAATATAGTAATCCAAAAATAGGCGTCATCTTCTTGCTCTTCACAATTTTATAATAAGAAGGTAAAATGTCTGTGAGTCGAGATTCATTAAGGAAAAAGAAAAAGCAGCAACAGTTTAAAGGCTGAGGCTTTTCTGTGTTCTACTGGCTTTTATTAACTAAAATTAAATTTTATTAACTAAGCCCCTCACTACAATTTCTCCAGTATCCCAGAAGTAACTTGGGTTTCCTTTCGGGCAGGGAAAAGAAGTATTCAAAGAACAGACAAGGACGCACGCAGTTCAAGCCCTTCAGGGTCCAAGTCCGTGGCTTCCTGTGCATGCACAGTGAAGGGGCTTCTTCACCTAGAGGAGTTGGTGGACCCTGTCCCTCTCCTGGGCAGTGCTGGTAAGGAAACCAAAGAGCCAACCAAAGGAAGTGGCCAAAGGAGTCCTACTGACATCACCCATGTCTGACAGACAGTTTTAGTGAGGGCCTGAATCACCCAGTCCCCGGTCAAAGTGCTGAAAAGGCCAGTCTAGCCAGCAGAAGCCCTGCTGTCACCAGAGGAAGGGCTTTGATCAGCTTCTCCTAATAGAGTAAGAAGTGATTCTCTGAATTCCTCCATCTTGCTTTTCATATCACCAGTAGAAGGGCCCTGGATCTAAACAGCATATTTTAAGGCTAAAGAGTACTGGGAGTTGATGTTTAGAAAAGGCAGCTTGTTCAAAGTCTGAAAGGCACACTGAGGTTTTCTCTAAACACCTCTGCTCCCATCAAAAAAAAAAAAAGACTGAGAACCCAGGTAGGTTTACACTGTATCAAAATTTACCATCGGCAGCCAAAAGCCACACCTGCAACTACTCAAAAGCCAAGAAAGTCCATGTAGGTAACACAGCACCAGCTGCATGGTCCTTTTCTCATTCCATCCTAAGTTTTAATGGCTGGAGGATGCGTATTGAAAAGAAATCTCAATGCGAAAGAAAGAAAACTCCCTTGTTAAAATACATTAATACCTCACATGCCATCTGAAGCTCAGGCTCAGGATCAGATCTTATAACCACGTCTCTGGTGGGCATAAAATATTTACAACATAGTTAAAGGCACAGTGGCATTTAAAAATAAAGAGGACATACAGTAAAAGATTCATTGTAATAATTAGACTGGCTTCAACTGGTAGAACTGACTCTTGCCAGATAACAGGCGAGGGAGGTGGTGATTTAGAGCCTGCTGGTTGGTTTTCGGGCATAGCGAGTACCTGACCCCAGGTGCAGGTAGAAACAAGCTCACCACACATCTCAGTGTTTCATTCTGGCTGTTTACATCTTTCCTGCTTTCTTGCCAGCCTGAGCTGGGATGCGAAGAATGTTGGGGGTTTCCTCCATGACCCTGACAAGCAGGTTGTCGATGTAGTCTTCCAGCTCACGTACCTGGAACTCCTTCTTGCTTATGGTTTCCTTCTGCTTCAGAACCAGCTGGATTAGCTCATCGTGGGTCAGTTGTGCATAGGCAAAAGCAGGGTCCGAGGGGGTGTATTTCTTTGGACAGTGGAGAAAGAGGGGAAAAGTTATCAAATCAGTATAGAGTTCTAAGAAAAGAGGAAAATGTCAGTGATCTGGGGCTCTTGGGAACCGGTGTTCAATTGAGGGTGAAAACAGGTTTCTGACTGATGGAGTTTTCTGTAAAGGGCCAGATAACACATATTTTAGAATCTGCAGGACATACATGGCTTTTGCTACTTGTTCTTTGGCTTGTTTTCTGTTTTATGACCTTTTAAAAATGTAAAAACCCACTGTACTCCAGAGTGAGACTCCAACTCAAAAAAAAAAAAATTGGATCTCTGGACTTAACTCTGGGTTTGGGGTTTTAAGAAAATGTCATCATGGGGGGACTCAGCCCTACAAATGAGGGCTCCCTCCTCTGGGAACACAAGCAGTTCACAAAACCATGGAGAGTGTGGAGCTGAAGATGAGCCCCCAGTCGGGGGGCCCATGAGGAACACCCTGAGAGAAGGTGCAGGAGCAAGGGCTCCTCTTCCCACGTGACAGGCTGCCATTCAGCCCAGACCCTCTGCTCCTGCCCAAGTTCCACCTCCACTCAGAAGGATTTGGTGACTAGGTGGATGCAGTGGCCACTCAGAGATACCACTTTAAGTCATTTCATACTAGCAAAATATGCAGAGTCAGAGCCAAGTGCCACCCCGCCCCAGTCCTCACCCACAGCCATCTGAGCACACCCTGTGGGTACATAGCAGCTTGTCCCAGAGCTGAGTGTTCCTGCCCACGATGAGAGCAGGTGCCCTGCAGAGTCGCTGAGCTTTATCAGCTTTTATGATCTGGAACAACTGGAGTCCAACCACAAGCTGAAGAGGCCTGAACCATGAGGAAACTCAAGAGATAAGATTAAATGAAAAGCAGCATGTCATACAAGCCTCCAGTAAGGAAAAAAAGAGCCTTTGCCTGAAATCTGTGGCTCAGGAGATTTACAAGTTCAAAGAAATAAGACCAAGACAATTTTGCTTGCAGAACTCTGAGAAAAAGAATAGTTTTATTGCCCTGAGGGTTTAACAGCTTTACTGTCTACCAGGAAGGCTAAGAGACTACCTTCTCCAAGAATCAACACTTGCTTTTTGACAGTACCACAGAAGCCCCAGTTCAGTCCAGTGGTGCAAACTGCCTGGATACAAGCCAGAATTCGGAGGAGGAATCCCAGCCCTCTCATCCTGGCTGGGAAGGAATGCATGGTGATTGCAGTGCTAACTTAGAAACATACACTGATGTTTCCATAGACAGTGGGTTTTAACCCAACCTAGGATGCACCTAAATAGGTGAGCTGCCAGACTACTTTTCCAAAAACTGCATCTCCCTTAATCCTTTAAAAAAACAAAATTTGTTGAAGACATTCATTCACAGGGTACCTGCTCTGAACCTCAGTCACTCTATTTGTGACTTCCAAAACAATATTTAACCAAAGAGTTGTATGTCTGAAAAAGAGTCCTGGAGACTGACTGCACAACAACGTGAATGTACTTATTACATTTCATATGAAGAAAAAAGTTATCCTTACAAATAATGGCCAGGAATTTATCTTCAAAGGATCTTAGATTATACCTCTGTCATAGAAGGGTCTTATTTGTTCAGAAAGGCCTTATACGTAAGATACGCTGCAAGGGAGTCTGGGAGATAGAAAATTGAAGAAGCTGACACCTGGAGGGAGGGGCTGAGGTTCACAGCGTGGCAGTGCTGGGTCTGCACAGTGTCAGACACGGAGGATCAATGATTATGAGAAGAGTCTCAGGGGTTAGAGTTCACAGAGGCAGAGTGTGCCCAAGGAACTTGGACACACAATAAACCACTGCTACCCAAGGGATTGGCACAAGCTTTAAAGATGAAGTGGCATCTGAACTAGACCTTGACAATAAAATTCATTTGCCCCCCAAAATGGTTTAAGTTATAAGAGGACTATTTAAGCCGGGCTCGGTGGCTCAGCCTGTAATCCCACGCCTTTGGGAGACTGAGGTGAGTGGATTGCCTGAGCCTGCGGGTTCAAGCCCCACCTGGGCAGCAAGACCTCATCTCTACAATAAATAAAAAAATCAGCCGGGGGTGGAAGCGCACACCTGTGGTTCCAGCTATGTGGAAGACTGAGGCGGAAGGATTGCCGGAGCCCAGCAGGTCGAGGCTGCGGTGGCCAGGAGTGGTGGCCACGGCACTCCAGTCTGGGCGACAGAGTGAGACTCCAACTCAAAAAAAAAAAGAGGAATATTTGCTCATAATACAAATACATAAGGACAAAAATCATTGCCTGTAATTCCAACATCCAACATTTGGGTCTCTTTATTTCTCCTGGATTTCGTTATGACATGTTTTACAACAGTGGCATTATACAGAATATAGTAGTTTTGCAGTTTTTTGTGAGCATTTTCCCATTATCACATTTTAGCAAAAATTGCTTTTCTAATAAATGCTTAAAATCCCTTTATATTTTAACCATCCCTCTATTGCTGGATATATGTTTTCAATTTTCACAATTATCTTTGGCCATATCTCTGTTTCCTTAAGATAAATGCGTAGAACTGAAAACATGCACACACTTATAGTAGTTCATTCAAACTGTCAAACAGCTACTTAATTTGGAGCTTGGACTTCAAAGGGGAGGAAAAGATATAAAGGGCTTTGAAATAATTAAAAGAGCCTAGTATGTGATGATTTAAAAAATATAACACAACACAGCATTATAAAAAAATGTGTAATGGTCATGGAGAAGAAGCGGTGCAGAAAAAATCCCCACTCATGCGGGAAGGTATGGCACTTGCTGTCACATGTTTCCTACCGGAATTTTTACACTGGACTCTTTTTTTTACACAGTTGTGATAAAACGACGTGCATTCAAGTGTGTCCAGCTTTTTCCATATGACTAATGATTTTGGATCTAGCTGGCTTTACTATTTTAAAACAAAAGTGTTGAAGCCACCTGGGTAAATAATACACTCCTAGTTATAAATCATCTATAAAGGATGGAGACCCTAAAACAACAACCAAGAAAAAAATAAGTCACTGAAGAAAAGATCTAGCTAGCTTTTTATAACTTTGGCTATGCAATTTTTTTCCCCTAATCTCTTATTTTGCAACATTCCAAAGAGTAGTTATTTTCATAAATACTGTGTTATGTCCTAGTACAAAGCATCTATTATGTGGCAGGCCAACAGCAGAGACTCCAGGAAACTTCCCATATTTACTCAGCCTATTTACTAGGTACAGTCGGTTCAGGACCAAGAGCTTGGTTGCAGGGAGGCACAGGGAGCAAAATAGGTAGCAGTTCCTTTGTTTTGGGGCAAATCATTCTCTCAGTCGGGTCAGGAGATAAGCCCCTGATTAAATGAGTTCTGGAGAAGAAATAAAATGGGAGCCAAGGGTCTTGCTAACTTCCTGAAAACAAGCATTTGCTTCTCTGTGGAGCCACCCTGCATTCCACAGTAAAAGGAAGAGGGGACAGGAGGCTGCTAAATGATTCTAGTTTTCATTACTGTCCCCTTCATGGTGTTCTTTTGCCCCATTTCCTGGTACATATCGTTAACTTCAGGAAGACAAGTGCTGCCTCTTCTACCTGCGACAACCACACAGAAGCCAGGCAAGCTGGTGGACGTATAGTACATGTTAAGGCCAGGGCTGACATAGTAGGTCCTGGCTGTGGCTGGTAAATTTGATACCCCATGCTTGCCACCTGCCCTGTCAGCACGTTCTATATAAGCAGAGAGCACACAATGCCTAGAAAATGCTAACTTTTCCCAGCAAAAATTAGTTATGATTACTAGCCCTCTTTTACCCAAAACTCGGATCTCCAGCTTCCAGTGAACCTTTATCCCAGCTCCTAGCAGTAAAGTTTAAATGAAGCCAGAGGGAATAACAACCACCTGGCAATTAAAAAAAACAAAATGCTTTCAGCCTGTCATGGTGAGAGGCTGAGGTAGGAGGATCACTTGAACCCAGGAGTTCGATGCCATAGTGCACCATGATTGTGCCACCAGACTCCAGCCTGGGCAACATAGTGATACCCCATCTCCCTCCTCCTCCCCCCCAAAATTTTGCTATCCTAGAGTCCATGGGACTGCAAAATCTATGACCGAATGAAACCACTCTGAACTAAAATAAAGTGTAATTCTACAGACTGCAATTCCCAGGAGTCAGTTGGGAAGTTCCTCTCCATATACTTGCCCACTACTGTCACCAGTCCCCCAGTAAGTCATTATCTTTAAGTCCACATGATAATGAGTTGAAGACCAGAGATCTATAGCAAGGCAGTATTCCAATTCTTCTGATAATAGAACCAGAAAGGCAGGATGAAGACACTCCCAGACAAAGATCATCTGGGAAGCTGATTTTGTTTTTGAGGGGAGTTGTTTTTTTTTTAATGTTAGCCCATGCTTTTTAACAAGAAGAAACCCTCTAATCCAGCAATATTCTTACTGGAAATTTAGCTTAATGAAATAATTGTTCATTCATATTGAAAAACAGAAAATAGTCTGGCTCGGTGGCTCAGCCTGTAATCCCGCGCTTTTGGGAGGCTGAGGTGAGTGGATTGCCTAAGCCCTCGGGTTCGAGACCCGCCTGGGCAACTTGGCGAGACCTCATCTCTACAATAAATCAAAATATCAGCCGGGCATGGTAGCACATGCCTGTAATTCCGGCTACTCGGAAGGCTGAGGCGGCAGGATCGCCGGAGCCCAGCAGGTCAAGGCTGCGGTGGCCGGGAGCGGCCACTGCACTCCAGTCTGGGCGACAGAGTGAGACTCCAACTCAAAAAAAAAAGGAAAAACAGAAAACAATTTTAATATTCAAAAATAGAGGAAAGGTTAAGTAAAAACTGATATAACCATTTCAAAGAATTAAGTAGCATCATGTAAAAATGCTTTTAATATACTGAAATGAGATTTTGAGAGTGTTTCCATGCATGTGGCGGAGTTGGAGAAATCATTTTGCAGCCATCATATTCAACAATGGATAGCAAAGCCTGTGCATAAAAGTGATGAAGAACAGGATGTTAACATAGTCTGAAATTAATTCCCCACAATTTTTAAAATGAATTGTAAAGGGAAAAAATAGCACCTTCATAGTAGAGAACCTGGCAGACACCACCTAAATCAACCTCATCAGAGTTAACACTCCCACTGGCGGGACAAACTGATATCATGTGCCTCTCGATACAGTGCACTGAGGACACATTATATATTAGTATAGTTGATTCCTGCCGAGAGTGCATGACCTCAACCAAATCATGAGGAAACATTTGACAAACCCAAACTGAGGAAAATTCTACAGAACAACTGATCTAAACTCTTAAAAAAGTCAACATCTTGAAAAAGAAAATACCAAGGAACTATTCCAGAATAAAGGAGACTATAGACATAAATGCAGTGAGTGATCCCAGACTAGTTACTGGACCAAGGGGGAAAAAAATACTAAAAAAGGACACTATTGGGACACTTGGGGAAATTGAAATATGGCCTAAAGCTGAGAAAACAGTATTACATCAATATTAAAGTTCCTGATTTTGATGACTATCCCTATTCTTGGGAATTGCACACTTAAGTATTGATGAGGTATACAACTTACTTTGCAATGATTCAGTAATTACACATGTACAAGGGGGAACCCCCAAAACCAAATTTATTTATAAAAAGTTGTGTATTTATTCTTACATGTTTAAACTTCAATCACCTTCAAAGTACTCTCCATTTGATGCAATACATCTATCAAGACACTTTTTCCTCTTCAAAAGTTTCTGAACTCATCAATTTTGATGCTTTTTAGTGCTTCTGCCATTTTTTGTTTCACCTCTTCTATATCAGCAAAATATTTCCCTTTTTTTAATCCAGAGAAACAAAAACGATTGCTGGCGGTGAGATCAGGTGAGTAGTAAGGGTGGGGCACAGGGGTCATGATGTTTTCGGTCAAAAACTACTGAATGCTCAGCGCAGCATAGGCAGGTGTGTTTTCATGGTGGAAGAACCAGTCACCTGTTTGCCACAAAAAAATTCACTGAAGCTGAACACAGCCTCTCACAACACTATCTGGTACTCTGATGCTGATGGGTTCCTAGAACACTTACCTAGTAGGGGAAGCCTATACTACAAGCCCCCCCACAAAGATAATCCCAGGTTTTTCTTGGGTCCACCCCCTCATACCTGCATATGTATACCAGAGATAAGGGGAGAGAGAGGAACAAGAGAGGGTGGGAATGACACAGCAAATCTGCAAATGTTAACAACTGATAAATAGGGAGGAGGGGTTTACAGGAGCTCTTTGTACTGTTCTTGCAATAATTTCAAATAAAGTAACAAAAAAGTACATCTATGCAATGATTAAAATTACAAGAACTTCACATTCTTGCCAAAAGAAAGGAAACATGGGAAAAAGAAAATATGCAACCTAAATGAGCCAGATTGTGGGTGACGTTTTCTTCTCATTAAAAAGCAGCAGTAGTATCAATCATGTTGCCTGAGACACACAAAAAATTTGACAATAACCTAAATAACCATAAGGACAAAAAGCAATTATACAATGGAATGTCTGAAGGCTTTCCGCAGTTACCTAAAGACTCCAGACACATGATTAACTGACTCCTGGAGATGCGAGGAGATGCACATGATGGTGACTATGGAAATGGATGCTCTGCACATCCATAACAGGCCAACTTCTCAGAAGACATACCTTCATCATGGCCTCGTTGATCATGTTCTCACTGATGATGGTAGCAGTTCCCAAGCTGGAGTTAGCAATCTTAGTGGCTGTTGTGTTCATTGGCTTCACAGGATGAAGTCTAAAGAGAAGGGGGAAAGAATCCTTAGACCTTTCTGGATGGCAAAACCATGAAACTGTCCACCTCAAAGATGGCAGCCAGCAAGCCAGATGAGGGGCAGAGTGGGTCACGTGCTGTTCACATCACCCATCCAAGCACTCTAATGTCTCAGGGTTCCTGTGGAAATGAAATCGGTCAGCACTAGGCAACCACATGCAAGCCCACGCAGCACATCCGTGGCCAGGTGTCCTGATGTTCTCAAGACCTTTGGTCTGGTTGTGAACATTAGGAGAACATTCGAGATGGTCTCTTGTGTTTAGAGGCAGCTAGAGCCTAGGACTCCACTGTGGAACTCCCTGCAGAGTTTTCTGTGCCTCCATAGTAAAGAGAGGTCAGAACAAACATGGTAGCTTCATCTCAGGCAGTGCTGAAGGTAGTTTTCAATACCACTATATCCTACCACTCAATGTTAGTTGGTTTCAAGACACTGGTCATGTTACATTTCTGCACTATGAGAGCTCCAAACTTGGCTGGGCAGAGCAATTCCTAAACAACCTCTGAGGTGTCCTGAAGTATTCCCACCACAAAGGGCAGCCCTACCAGCAGGCTGTCACATCGGGACATCTGTGCGGTTAAAAAGTCATAACTTCTGCAGGTAAAAAGCAAAGGGGGACATTGCTCACATTTACAAAGACAACCTCCCTTGTCTCTCACCTGTGCTTGGCTGACCCAGTTCCAGCGCTTGGCTGAGCTGAGACTGGATGTGTCTCTGAGGGTGAGACCCAGGCCTGAAGGAGCGGCTTCCTCTTGCCAAAGTTTTCAACTTTACCAGCCGAGCCCTCTGCTGTGGCTTTGTTTTGAGACTCTGCTGTACTGCTGTGGTGAGTGTCAGAGTGTGGAGAGCTGTGGGCAGAGTGTGTGGCAGGAAAGGTCTCAGAAAGGGAGGGGCCGGGCATAGGAGAGTCCAGGAACGTGCCAGGAGGCAGACTGGGACTCCCATTTCCCTTCAGCTGCTCTTCCTCGCCAGGACCTGGCAGCTGTTTATCCGGGCTTGAGCTCTGGCCAAAATGTGGTTTGTGAATTCCTAGCACTGCAGGCTGCTCTGAAGGAGCTGTCACAGATGCTTTGGGTGCTTCTGACCTGAAGTCAGATAGGCTCTCCACGGGTGCCAAAGCATCTCCCTCGCCACTCAGCCCCTCTCCCTTCTCAGGACAGGGGAGTGCCACGCTTGAAGACGAAGGTCCTACAACCAGAGTTGCCAACTTTGCTGTCTTTCTGTCATCTTCAACATGATCTACTCTTTCATCATCTGATGCAACTTCAGGAATGGAAGGGAGGGTTAAGTTCAGATCAGTCATGATTGGAGACTTAACATCTGAGACAGACTGAAGGTCACTCAAGGGATCAGACAATAAACCTTCATGGTCACTGGCTTTGCTCTGATATTGCACCAGAAGGGTATTGTCCCCCTCAGTCTTAAAGAGTAGAGTGTCTTTCACGGGACTTGCTTCCTTTGCGGGGCCTTCTGAGAAACTGTCCTCCTGGGAGGAGTGGAGGAGGTGACCCGCCATGGATGCTGGCACAATGCAATTCACCGGCCCGGGTGTGGTGACAAATTCCCTGTCTGAATCTTTGGTGTGGGGAGACCCAGCAGGCTCTCCATCAGGCACATTTCCAGCAGTAGCCCCTGCATATTGCAGTTCCTGGGGACAATGTTCATCCTCTTCTTCCAACCCAGCAGAGCTCTTCACGTCCCCTTCAGTGAAGAGCTGCTCAGAAAACGACACGCGCTTCTTGGTTTTCTTCTGGCCCCCACTGACACTCAGGTCCATCTCTTCAGGTTTCTGTATCATGGAGTCAAGTGAGGGGACCAATTCTCCCATGTGAAGAGGGGGCACCCCTTTAACTGCAGAAGTCACTCCATCATCCCTGGCTTTGTCCTCCACAAAAGATCTAGACTGGCTCTTTTTAAAGTCTGTGTTTCCTCCAGTTGGAGGCTTCCTAGCTGGGTTTGCAATTCTGCTGCTGCTGAGTGAAGGGGGAGACATTTCTTCTTGAGCCTCATCAGATGATGGCATGCAGTCTTGTTTTCTGGGGTTACACCTCAGAAGTTCCTCTTCTTTTTGCCCCAAAACAGGTTGCTTCAGGAGCAACTCCTCTGATTCGTCCCTGCTGGTTTTCTCCTCTGTGCCCATCTCACTGGTCCTCATTGTTGGAGAATCTTCCATCCCTTTACACACAGGAATAGGTGGCTGTTTGAAATGTGATCCCGAGGCAGAAAAAGCAGAATTTGGAACTGATGCTACACTCTCCTTGTGCAACTCTGCTTTAAGGAGCAGGGATGGTTCTTCAGGCCCAGCCTGGCTCTTGTCTGTGGGAGGCCAGTACCCAATAGGAGTGGATGTGGAAATGGGGGCAGCTATGGGAGACGAGAAAGAGGAGGAGACAGAAGGACTCTCAGAGGACTGTGTGTTGGAACTGTGCCCCAATTCAGAGGGGACAGGGGCCTGGACAGAACTGGAAGAGACAGCAGGAAAAAGGGGTGGGGAGTCAGGGGGAGAAGGAAGCCTGGCTGTGGGCTGAGCCTCTGGAGACACTTCCAGTCTGCAAAAAGGACAAAATAAAATCTGCAGGTCAGTTGCAGATGCATGGTGAGAGACAAAAAACATCTAAAAATAAAGCCGTTCAACCGGGGAGACCTTTTTTACACTTGGGGCAGTACCTTGAGAAGAAGGAACACCATTACTTAACATACAAAAGTGACACTTTATCACCAAGCAGATCTGCCACAGTAAGGTCTGTTACAACAGAAGCGAAAAGATCCAAGCAAAGCAACTGCCTACAGTTTCTTGTAGTGATTAACACAAAGCCTGAGCATTTGATCAATGCAGGGCAAAAAACACCTACAATGTGCAAAGCAGTCAAAGAGGTGACACAAAGTAACAGGCACAGATGTTTCAGAGGAATGGTCTATGTGTTTGTGCATGTATGTGTATGTACATGTGTGCATGTTTCATGTGTGTATGTGCGGGCATCAGATCAAAGTAAGTAGAACAATCTCTCCCACCCCAGGCCACAGAAATCGTATTAGTGTCTATGTGAGTCATAAAGAGAAGCAGAGGCCCCCGAGGCTCATGCAGGCTCTTACTACAAGGGGCAGAGCAAAAAGGGTCTGTCGTGCCAGCAAACCCATGCCAAAGTGCAGGAAGGAAAGATGACATCTGCCTCAAGGAGAAATGTGCAATTAGAATGTAATAAGCACAGGTTCTATACATCCACAACCCAAACCCAGCATTCCTTTTTTTTTTTTTTTTGAGTCAGAGTCTCACTCTATCACCCAGGCTGCTGGAGTGCAGTGGCATGCTCACCGCAGTCTCGACCTGCTGGGCTCAGGCGATCCTTCTGTCTCAGCCTTCCAAGTAGCTGGAACTACAGGCATGTACCACCATGTCTGACAATTTTTTTATTTACTGTAGAGACGAGGTCTCACCATGTTGCCCAGGCTGGTCTCAAACCCATGGGCTCAGGCAGTCTTCTCGCCGCCACATCCCAAAGTGCCAAAGTGCCAGGCGTGAGCCACTCTGCCCGGCTTAAAACCCAGCATTCTTAACCTTCAACACATGAATCAACTACAAACTCTGGAATCTGATGATCTTACTGGGATGGACAGACCACACCTGATGGATTGTGGCTTTGGGCTGGGAAAGGTCACTGTAATTTGTGCAGGTTGGCAGTAGGGACTTGTTTAAAAAATGACTTCAGGCCAGGTTCAGTGGTTCAGCCTGTAATCCCAGCACTTTGAGAGGCCGAGGTGAGTGGACTGCCTGAGCCTGCGGGTTTGAGGCCCGTCTGGGCAACTTGGCGAGACCTCATCCCTACAATAAATGAAAAAAAATTAGCTGGGCATGGTAGCGCATACCTGTAGTTCCAGCTACTTGGAAGGTGGAGGCGGAAGGATTGCCGGAGCCCAGCTGGTCAAGGCTGTGATGGCCAGGAGCGTGCCACTCCACTCCAGTCTGGGCGACGGAGTGAGACTCCAACTCAAAAAAATAAAAAATGATTTCAGCCATCAAACCCTTGGCATATCCAGGTACCATCATGGAGCAAGCAAGATATGGTCTAATCGGCCTTGCTATGAATGCCACAGACAGCAAGACAGGTCCTGCATGAAAAGAGCCAAGACTTACCGGGGTTTGACAGCTCTGGTCTGGGGAGCCCTTGGAGAGGGAACTGGCCGTTTCAGTTCAGACTTGGACTCTGGGTCAGCTTCCAGTTCTGTGATCTGCACATCTTCAAAGGGGCTCAGGGAGGTACCCTGCCTGGAGACAACAGCTGCAGTATCTTTTTCGGATCTTCTTACTAGGTCTCCAGCAGATGCTGATGCATCCTCCCTCGGTTTGACATCTGTGAACGTGCCTTCCTTCTCCTTCCCCAAGATGCTAGGAGGGCTTTCACCTTCACTGCCCTTAGCCACATCCTTCTTCCCCGTCACCAGAGAAAGCAGAGAGGACCTCTTGGTCTCCTGCTTCTTGTTCTCCTTGGCTTCTTTTGCAGCCTCCACATTTGCTGGAGCCGTGTTTTCCCTAATGTCCCCACTGACCAGTGGTCGGTAGGAAGGCAGGGACATAGACTTCGGAGAGTCCTTGGTGGAAGACTCCGACAGCTGCCTGTCAGAAGACATCCCACCTCCTTCCCCAGCCTCCTTCCAAGACCGCACAGCCAGGTTTTCCGTAGATGAGAACAGATGTTTCTTTCTGAAGCCCTGGGGGGATGGGGAGGAAGAAGGGCTGCTATCCTTGGTCTCACCCTTGGCTTCTGGCTGCTCCAGGTAAACATGATTCCCATTGATACAGACGTTAGAGCGAGAAAGGACATCATTTTTAGACCGAAGGCCACCAAGAAAGGAGAGTCCTTCCTTCTTGGGAAGGGTGAAGTTGATTTGGCTTAGCTGCTTAAGGTCTGTACTTGCAGTTCTCCTGTGAGACATGACTAGGGGAGGAAAAAAAAGAAGAGAAAGGGGATAAGGAGTTAAATGAGTGGCTTGCAAAGGGGAGAGGGAGCATTTGTCAATGTCTAAATACACTTTTGTTTGTCACAGCTTGGTGGGGAGTCAGGGTGCTACTGGAATCTAGCAGGTAGAGGCCAGAAATGCTGCTACACATCCCACAATGCACAGCACAGCTACCCACAACAAAGGATTATCTGGTCCAAACTGGCAATAGTGCTGAGGTTACCAGGCAGTGGCTCACACCTGTGGTCCTAGCTACTAAAGAGTTTGAGGCAAGAGGATCACTTGTGGCCAGGAGTTCAAGACCAGCCTGGGCAACAATAGCGAGACCTCATCTTTAAAAAAATTTTTAATAGCCAGGCATGGTGGTGTGTTCCTGTAGTCCCAGCTACTTGGGAGGCCAGGGCGGGAAGCTCACTTGAGACCAGAAGTTCAAGGCTGCAGTGTATTATGATTGTGCCACTGTACTCCAGCGTGGGTGACAGAGTGAGACCCACCTCTTAAAAAAAAAAAAAAAACAGGCCAGGCTTTTTTTTTTTTTTTTTTTTGAGTTGGATTCTCACTCTGTCGCCCAGGCTGGAGGGCAGTGGCACGCTCCCGGCCACAGCAGCCTCGACCTGCTGGGCTCTGGCGATTCTTCCGCCTCAGCCTTCCGAGTAGCTGGAACTATAGGTGCACACTACCACGCCCGGCTAATTTTTGATTTATTGT